AATATTTAAGGGTTAGGATTGCGCAATTTCAAAAAAGGTCAGAGGACACAGCTAATCTGCATATATTTAAATAATTTGAATATGCAAACACAGGGCAGACACGGCATACCAATGAGGGTAGAAACGGACTGATAAGTACTAAATTTGATGTATTCAGTTTAATATAAATTCATACGTCAATCAAGTGTAAGCACTTCTATACTAACTGCTTCAAATTATTCATTTTAATATTATGTATATGTATCTGTCAGAAAAAATCAACTAGCATAAAGTAACATCACTTTGAGAAAGATCCGGTGGACATGGAAATTTCTTTCAATCAGAGGCATCTCTGAGAAAATTTGGTAGTAACAAGCCTCTTGTTCCAGCTACTTGTAACTTGGAATATCAGGAATTTACAATGCCTGCTTTTGTATTTTGAAAAAGCTTGAAAAATTGAAAATTTTGATAAATACCAGCCCAGCTTTTCCAAGCTTCAAGATTTCAAAGAGTTCTAATCTATCGACATTTAATAGCTTAAGGCATAACTATGATTTTGTGCAGTCACCAACAATTTGACAGATTTTGACAGTTTTTGAACGTACAATATTGAGTGCACAAATTAGTCTATCTAATGCACAGAATGCAAAATACTGATTATTTGGTAAACTAAATGATCATGATTGGAAACCAACTTGAAGGGTAGCTGCAATCAATTTGTTTGAATACAAACCTTCCAAATGCATCCTAATTTTCTCAGTTGACCTGATTTCTGGCTTTTCTTTCAGTATTTCAAAGGGTAATTTACTGTCTTTTAGGTTTTAATGCTAATTAGCATTTCCCTTGGCCTTTATGACTACAGTAAAAGTGTAACATCATCTCAGGAAGAAAGCCTCAATGTTGGATGGTTTGTTCTCAAAAGAAGTCCTTTATTTTTGTAGATTTTGCAGGACACAAATTTCTCCTCTTCACTGATTCATTGTTGTTTTTTGTTCATAGCAAAAAGCAAGCATTAATTCCTTTATCAGACCCTTTATTAGACTGGACTTCATAGCAATAGCGCCCTCAGTTGTCCAGAAAAGCTTGGATGATTTCAAGTGTTAAAAAGGTGCCTTTTTCAATGCATGTAACCAAACAGGAATGTAAAAACACATCAAACAAGCTTACAAAGTTCCCCCAAAATTGTTTTCAAACATACTGTATTGCAGCTACGCTTTAAAATAAGATTACTTCTTTTTCTAGAGACATTTATACACCCTTGATACCGAAGCTGTCGTGCAAAATTTACTTTTCCCTTTGACTAAAAACATCTACATGGCAAGCCTGAAATCCTGTTTACTATGTATGGGCAATGCTGGATACTTTCTGCAAATCTAATATTTGAGCTTTGCAGCACCCTGTTTGTACTGGCCAAGTCTGTGAGGTGAAGCCCCTCCAAGGACCACGGTAGACAGGAACCACTGCTTTGGAGCACCCTGCTTGTACTGGCCAAGTCTGTGAGGTGAAGCCCCTCCAAGGACCACGGTAGACAGGAACCACTGCTTTGGAGCACCCTGCTTGTACTGGCCAGGTCTGTGAGGTGAAGCCCCTCCAAGGACCACGGTAGACAGGAACCTCTTCACCCTGCTTGGCTCACTGATGTTCCTTTGCCTGCACAGATGAGAAAAAAAATGTCATGAGTCTCTTTAGAGCATTATGTTACATTAAATCCTTTGAAAAAAGAGCAAGATTCTTGGCAATATGGATAACAACCAAATTTGCAGAGTTGTTAAAAATCATCCTTTTTAATTAAAAGTCAGATTTCTTTATGTAAAGCAATTTTTTTTAATTTTTTGTCACTCATATGTTGGAAGTGTCCAACACATTTTGTTCTCGAATTAACTGCGTACAAAATTATTCCAAACACTCCTTATCACAGACCACTGGAAACTGCATGTAAAGTTTGTCATCTGACATTCTGCAAAGTGCACTTTAATCTTATGACTAGTCTCTGATTTCTTGGTTTTCATAGTCTTGTTACCAGCCACTCCTTTTTTTTCTCTCAAAATGCAGCCATATCCAATCTCGCTTTGGGCCATTCATCTTTGGCAATTTCAATGCAAAGCTTCAGGTTTCTTTTAAGTTCATATGTTCTGACTTTTCAACTGTCTTTTTTGAAGGCTGAACAACATACATGTATCAACTATGAGAACCCTGGGAGATACTGTTGCTTCAATCAATGTCCATTCTTATGCAAATCATATATGTTACATCATGCTGCACAATGAAGATTTCATCTCAGTTGGCCTCAGTAAATCGAAGTTAAGTCACCCAAGTTTTCTAAATGAAAAAAAAAAAGGAATCAAGGCTCCTTCTGATTTTAGAGTGAATGATAAATGAAGTGGATTCAGGGAACACAATCCAAAATGGGCATTTTGTGAATAAAGCCCAGTGGGCACATAATAGAGAATACTTATACATGTATATGTGCATGATTACACCCATGAGCTGAATTCAGATTAAGTTGTTTTAGAAGAATCAAAATATGAAAATTCAGCCATTTCTTCATTTAAAGAAACCAGGAAATAAATTTTTCTTAAATAACTTTTTGTGTATCTCTGTACTCTTCTTCCATGAATGAAGACTGTTTGACATCTTTTTTGAATTATGTGAACTGAACGGTGCACTTTTGCAAACATTAAAAATTGACCAAGCATTTGTGGACAAGTGAGGGCGCTTTTGCTCTGATGTAAATCTAGGAAGACATGGTTCGGGTTGCATGTTTCATGTTTAAATTGTGAATCTCAAATTTGCTATCTGGGAATATTTCTGTGAAAAGGATTTTTACTGGATTATTGCCATATACTTACACAGCAATAAATTGCCAAAGAAAATAAAATCTGCCATAGCAGTGGTTAAAGAAAATCTAGAAATTTTCTTTCCACATATCAGTAGAACATTGAGATTCAGTGCCTTGCATAACATCATAGTTCTTCTCATGAATATGCATGAGCATAAAAACAGAAAACATCGAAATATGGGTTAAAATTGCAAAACAAAAATTCAAAATGAGGTTAATTGAAACCCAAAGATACAATTTTAACGACTTTTAGTAAAATTTATTAAAATACTTCTATTTCCTGGTTCTTTAAATATCAAGCAAAAAGATTTCTGAAGTATTCATGACACACATAGCGTAATTTATTAAAATAATTTTTTACCACTTCCTGCCAGGCGGCTTCGTTTCTGAGTCCATAGGCTTTATATGCAGAGCCAGGGAGCCCGGAACTCGGACAAAAGACTGAGGCCTTATAACAAAAGACTTTGCTCAGCATAAAAGACTGAGCTGCTGGGCATTACCAACATTTTTTCGCTCTCAAAATTGGAGATAATCCAGCATTGTTTTGAAACAGTATACCACGGTTTGAGGCATTTTGAGCAAGTGGATTGCCACTGAGGACAAAAGCTCTCCACCACCGCAGCGATGAGCGACACCGCACCACTGCACGCTACTCTGGCCTCTATTGAAAAGAAGTCAGCAGTGCACTGTGCCGGTTTCGGGAACAAAAGAATCTTACTTTACATCACACAATCTGGGCTCTTTTTCAAAGGCTGCAGGCCTGGCTGAAATATTCAAATGTCAATGAGGTTAACTGTCAGCTTTAGAGTAGTGCCCAAAAAGTTCTTCATGTAGGTATAAACGGCCATTAAATGAAATGATGAATTTTGAAAATAGAAAATCTTGAAAAGGACCCAGCATCTTGTCTTGCTCAAGAAAAACCCAACCGGCAGCAAGTGGTTAATGCTGTTTTTAGTCATTTGAATTACAATTGAAAATCAATGCTTTAAATCAAAACATCCTGCCAATTAATTGAAACCATGTTTTCAAATTAAGTTAACTTTTTTAGGAAACTTCTTGTCAAACCTCTGCCTCCCTAAGAATGAAGTGTAACACATTTCTTTTAAAGGTGCAGTCCATCATTTGCAGTTAGCCAAAAAAGGAACTGATGAAATTATTGTTGAAAAACATACTTGGTTGATAGATGGCTGTGGAACTAAACTCCCTGTGAACTTATTCTTTCTGGGGAGTTGTCATTTGAAGAAAATAAAAAAAGGCCATTGAAGACACTTTTTTTGGAAAATTGCCATTGGAAATGCACAAGCCTTCACACGACAAATGCACGTACATGTATCAGTTACTATAATTCATTGGTTCAGTGTATGATATTGCATAGCTGCATTTGAGTGAATGGGAGAATGGATCCCTGAGGCTCAAATTCCAGCACAATTCTAACATGATTCAGTAATTTCTGATCTGAAATCCAACTCCTAAAATATTATTTTTCTCAGAATTTACAGTATTTACTGAGCTGAAACTTCATCAGGTTTGTTTTTAGACAACTTTCTTCAGATTTTGAGTAATTTTGTTGTCTCAGAGGAACATGACACACAAAGGATCAGACAAATGATGGACTGTCCCTTCAACACATGGGAAGCTATGATCACTATTCACAATATCAAACATACAGTGGCAGCTGGCATATAAAATGATGTTTTTAAAAGAATCAATCATGACTCACCTATGCTCCTTAAGCCAGGTAACTTCATCTCCAAGAAAGGCCACAGTAAACACAACACTGAAAGGAATACAAGAAGAATCCAATTTGTTAAATCTTCAGCAATTTCAAGCCATGGTGCCTTTGCAAATGACTCCAGAAACACAAGACACTTTAGCTCATGACTCCATATTTACTGGAAGTGTATTCAAAGCCAAACTCTTGAAGGACAGGTCCCAGCTGTGTAAATGATCCTTCAATGAATCTACTTAAAGGTAGGATTGGTCACTCAAGCATGGATGGTTAGAGGATCATGTTCACCTGCTGGTTCATGTTGCTGAGACTAGAGCTAGGATTGGTCACTCAAGCCTGGATGGTTAGAGGATCATGTTAACCTGCTGGTTCATGTTGCTGAGACTAGAGCTCATGGTCACTCAAGCCTGGATGGTTAGAGGATCATGTTAACCTGCTGGTTCATGTTCCTGAGACTAGAGCTACAGTACAGGTTAGAATTTTTGCCGACATGTAAACACACTTAGCGTGTCAGCACGTATCGAGTCAAACACACATGAAAGGAGTTAACCGCAAACACGAAGAGCGCTGACCCTGAATAACTGAGAATGCCGACACCGCAATCTGCTGAGTATAAACGTGCACACGCTACATGCAAACCCCAGAACAGCAAGGCCCTTTGTTGATCAGAGCAGTCATTTTCCTAGTTTCTCACGACGAAAAGTATTCAGTTTGACTGCAGCTCAAGTTATCTTCAAATTCCAGGGAAATGTGGTTAGTAGTTTACCTTGTATGAAGCAGGCGTCACCAAATCATTTGAGAAAATAGAGTATTTTGTTTGACCATACAGGATCGATGAAAATGCCATGCAAGCAACAATATTTGTTAATGTCTGAATTGTTCCACAACTTCTGAATCAGGCACAGAAAATATTCAAGCGTGAAATCAATTTTTCAGCCGAGAACTGTAAGTAGCAATTTTACGATAAAGCATTTCCTAAATTAGAAAAAACTATTTTGTAAGAAATCCACAAGATACAAACAGGGTTTGACTTCACTGGTCTGCTGGCCAAATTTTAGTCAAGAAAGCCCCCACGGCGGCGATCCTAGCATACACATAGATAGTTGTTGCCGTACTTGCTGTACTCGAGCTTAGTGTGTTCAAAATTGTGTGAATATAAATTTGATGTGAATTGGGGATTTTTCCCATCAGTTTTCGACCTTGGAGCTGAAACATCTCCCAAAAAAGTCACTCCGATTGTGACCAAATTACGACCAAACTAAATGGCAAAGATCACACCGAAATGAAAGGAAGTCGGATCTGCATGTGCGATGTGCATATCTGTAAGGAAGGCACTATCTGGGCGCAAACCGGGTACAGTCATGAATAATACAGCATGTGACGTAATACGAATAAAACAATATTTGACGTTTCATGAGCCGATACAGCATTCGTCGTTCACAGCTCTGATCATAAACCTGTGCAGATAGAGCTCGTCAACCTCAGTTGGCAGTCTATTCCCATAGCTGTTTGCATGTGACAGCGGTCACACCCCTGGCAAAGTTAGTTTTAAAGGGTATGTCACTCCTTGCATGTGAAGACTGACTCCAGGCAGAGCGAGCAGATGAGATCAACTGTGGATCAAATGGATGTGAAAGCGGTGTCAGCAAGCACTGTGGAGTGTGTTAGACCCTGGATGTGACATGTAATAAGTCCTGGTCATCCCCTGCAGCCTGGCAGTCTCCAATTGTCACGGTTCCTCGTGCCATTGGACAAAGGCTCACCAAGTCAAGAGAGTGGGACTACCCCTGTGCAATGATTCTCCCACTATAAAACACTCACACAGGTCCATTATGTAACTCATCATTGATCTGTCGTCCCCTTCAAAAGTCCTGCAGCAATGGGTGAGTGGCG